CTGATTATAGCACTTAAAACCTGGAAAAGTCAGATTTTCATGATATGTCACCTTTAAACAGAGCGTTTTGAACCTTAAATCATGTTAATCATAATAAATGAGCATAATCTGGGCAGTTTAATGCTTTAAGACATACCTGCGCAGTCTCACCAGAAGTCTGGAGGCTTTTCCCAGAAGCTCTGCGGCCTGTCTGAGACGATCTTCATTCTGAACACATCACAAAGCAGTACACAGGGGTTATGCATGATATAATGATGATTTCTGATCATTTACAGGATTATTTATTAATCACGTTTGCATTCCTCACCTCAAACACAGATGCGGCCTTCTGGTACAAGTCCACGGCTTTCTGGAGATCAATCGGCTCGATGAGTCTGAAGAAGCAGATGGCACTAGTTAACACTGGTAATGGTAACACAACCTTTGCATGCATATTATAGTTATTTACACATGAGAAACTACACAAATAACCTCTCAGGAAGTGTTTCGATCTGTTTACTCACTTCCCAGCCCTGTCCAAGGCTATTCCAGCGGTGCCAGACGTCCCATTCTCCACGTACATGATGCTGGCCTTCTCGATCAGCTGAATGGCTTCAGGCATTTTCTTCATGTCCTGCCGGCGTACAAGAGACATTCAGACATGCCTCAAAACGACAGGCCGTCCATAACAATCACTGCGCGACCAACTCACCTTCAGCATCATGCCGGCTTGTTCATACGCTCTGAGAAGAAGAACAGCATGAGTTATGATGGGTGCCATTGTTTAGATGTATATTGAAAGAAATTGGCAAACTATAGATTAGTTTGGCATATGGATTGTTTGTATAGATTTAGGGTTAATAAGTATAGCCTAATGATCTAAATATTCTTAAAAATTAAAAGTTTGTTGTCATTTGGAAGTGTGTAGGCCTTCTTGCATTATTATGCTGTTAAATTATGATTATATATTCAGTGGCATAAAATGGTCTTTAAAATGACAATAATATTGCAATTATTTCTGGGGCAATATATTACACAACAAAAAGTTGTTATCGTGACAGGCCTATATATAATCACCTTCATCAATAACATCAATGCAAGACGTCACTTTACATCTGTATTCATCACCTGCTTTTGCCATCTCTGAAGCGGCTCCGTCATAATCAGGTTTCCACTTGGTCATGCTGGTCTTCAAGCTGCATGAGGTAAAATTCAACTATTTTAAGGTGTTCACTGAAAAAGAAGTGCACTTAAATGTACTGCATGTGCACTTGCAGTTTATTTCAAAAGTATAACTTTTGAAGAAGTAAACTTATTTTGATGTGAAGACCAATATATATAGCACATAAAAAGTACTTGAATACAATTTTAACTGTAGTGTTATTCGATATTACATTTCAAGTAAATATATTTTAAATGCACTCAAATGCAATTTCATCATTAGAAATAAGTAATTAAAATATTCATTTAAATACATGACATACAAATTTCAATAGAACTTACATTAAAGTATACTTTAGTTTACCATGAATGCTTGTCAGTATATTCAGCAGTACACTTTAATAATGTTTTAAAAACATTTGATGTAAGTTATGAAATTACATATACAGATGTACTTTAGCCAGAAAACACTCCTAGGCTCAACTAAACTAAACTATAATGCATTTTCATTTAATTGTAAATACAATACAATTAAGTGTTTGAAACATTACATTCCGTTCACACTTATATTCTTTTAAAGTATTTTCCGTACTCTTTTTAAAGTATGCTAAAGTGTACTTCTTTTCCACAAGGGAACACATATTACAAAAAAATATCATAATAATGCACATAATTTAAGTTTAGTTTTTGAACTAGGTGTATGCAAAGTGTGTCAAAAAGACACACAGGTGTGTAATTGAACTTTAGACTCAAAATCTTCTGTTTACTGACATGTGTGGCCTGTGACAACTTGCCCCGGTACTCTCCTACATGATGGGCACATAAACATGCACTGCATTTCAGGAATGGCCCACATCATCAGTAGAACCCTCATAATAATGACCACATCAGGACCACTGCAGCTGTCGCCAAGGTAACCTTTATCACTGCACGCGCGATTACGCAGTCAGTCTCGCTGTGGAATATTATAATGAACGCGCATCAGAATCCTTCAGCATTAATCATCTGGACATGATTGCACCGATAAATGAGTTAAAAGCCAGCTGCATCCGCTAATCTAGCAGTATTAGTGGCAGTCTGACAGACAGCAGGCCGATCGGAACTCGGAAATGCACGAGATCTGTTCTGTCCGCTCATTCATATGAGAATATTCCATATCTCACCATTTCTCGGCTTTCGCGATGTGATCGTGCGCCTCGTTGATCTTCTGCGCGGCCATGGCTCTCGGTTTCGCGGGTGAAGAGGACAGACCGACCCGCTGCTCGGGAGGATGAGGATGAGGATGAGGATGGACCGTTACGTAGATTATCCTGATTTTCTCCAAGAGCTCAACCACGTCACGGGGTTTTTCTACGGGAGCCCGAGTGGATGCAGCAATGCGCCATTCAACATCTGCGATTCACACTTTTTTATTATAGGCCTACTCATATATTTATTTGTTGAATAAATATATAAGTAAAATATATGTATTATTATTATTAATAAATATTTATTTATTTGCGGTTGTAATTTTAATGGAATTGTAATTATTATAGAATATAGATAACATTTTCAATGTGTTTCTAGATATTTACCTTATTATATTGAACTTTGTTTTATTTAAATTTGTTTTATTTATTTATTTACGGATTTAATGTATTTGCGATTTTTATGGTAATATAGATAATATTTTACATTTGTTTGTAAATATTTTAGTTATTTGTATTATTCATAGGCATATATTTATGTATAATGGGAACTTTTTATTTATTTATTTAACGGATAGAATATATAGAGAGAGATAGAGAGTGTGAGTGTGTGTGTGTGTGTGTGTGTGTATGTATATTATATGTTAAATATTAGGTAGAATTACGATTTTTTTTTTGTATTATTATTTATTGCTTTTTAGTAAAAAAACAAAAAACAATAAAAAACCCGATTGAAAAGGCGACAGATTTCTTTTTATTTTCCACATCTGACATATAATATTTGTAACTGGCCGTGTGGCAGATGTTGACCGGCTGTTAGTGGTGGATGGAGTCGGGGTTCGGTGTCCAGCGGAGGGCCGGTGGTGGCTCGCCCGCTGTGGGAGCTTCGCAGCGCCGCAGGAAGATGCCGCCCAGAGCCGCTGATTATAAACTGCAGGTGATCATCATCGGCTCCCGTGGAGTGGGAAAGACCAGCCTTATGGAGAGATTCACGGATGACACCTTCTGCGAGGCGTGCAAGTCCACTGTGGGTAAGACAAACTGACAGAAAGAGAGAGTTTTTGAAGCTGTCAGTCTGGAGGATCAACAACAAGGACTGTCAGTTTATTTGTTTACTAGTATCTGTTATCTTTCTGCTTAATTATCATAACAATACATACATACCACATCGTGTTTATCTGCTCAAGTCAGTTCAACTGTATCCAAGGTATGAATAGTTAACTATAGATAGATAATGACTGAGAAAGCTATAGCCAGTTAGTACAGCATAGATAAGTCAACTATAGATGGATAATTAATAAACTTAATATTATAGTTATGTAATTAAACGACCCCTAGTTAATATAGAATAGATGTAACTAAATAATTTGTAAACTGTATCAATGATTATCAGTGTTTACTTAGTAAACCATAGATGGTTATTAAAGATTAGATAACTAATTGTACATACGCGTTTAGTAGAGATGGATAATTATAGCCAGTTTGGAAAGCATAGATAGTTAACTGAGATTAATTTGTAAACTATTAATGGTTCGCAGTTGGCTATTAGATGGATGTTAGTGTTTTTATTTTTATTTTATTGCACAGATAGTTAACGGTGGATATTTTGTAAACCATAGATGGCTATTAAAGATTAGATAACTGTACATATTAGTTTAGTATAGATGAATAATTATTTCCAGTTTGGAATAATAACTATAGATGTTAGTAATTGGCACTTTGATGAATAGTTATTGTCAATTAAAAAAGCAATGGACAATAGTTATTTAGTAAAAGTAGAACAATTAGTAAAACATAGATGGTTATTAAATATATATATATATATACACATACAGTGGGTACGGAAAGTATTCACTGTGTTTTTCTGTCAATATGGGGTGCTGTGTGTACATTAATGAGGAAAAAAAATTAACTTAAATGATTTTAGCAAATGGCTGCAATATAACAAAGAGTGAAAAATTTAAGGGGGTCTGAATACTTTCCGTACCCACTGTACATAAATTACTTCTTTAAATGACAAAATACATTTTAAATTGTAATAATATTTCACAATATTATTGTGTGAATAGATAGATAAATAGGTAGTAGATAATTATAAAACTATAAATAATATGAATATATTCGTATTTTCGTTTTTGTGTACATAATTTGTGAACTGTGCATAGTGATTTTGTTATGGATATTTTAATTTGGATAATAAAAAATGTCAAAAAGTAAAAAATGTGTTTACCTTATAACAAATAGTTGCAGCAATATAATGACTACTGTAACATGAAAACTTAGTCAGAGGAGTAGCTCTGGTCAGTCAGTTTTAGTCCTGACAGTGTCAACAGAAACATTTCAGCCAGATGTTAGAAAGCCACAATCTGAAAATCACATCTGTGCCAGTGACCACGTAAATCAGAGAAAATTTTCCTAATAATAATCACACTGTTGTAACACAGATGGATGCAAACAATTCAAATGATGTAAGAGTTTGATGTTAACATGAATGTGTCTAAACCGTTTTCATCCCTCATTCTCATGCCCAGCTTTTTTATAATGTCGTTACATGGGAGATCTGCCAAGTGCTGAATCAATTTAGCCAATACATAAATGTTTCGACCAGCGCACATGTGAAAACTGATACAGTAAGGTTTTCACTCACTCATGGCAGGCCTTCACATCAGATTAGTTGCATGCTTACTAACCCAATATCCCAGAATAGCCAGACACATGTTCACACAGCTGCTGTGACATCCCGACCTCGAGTTACTGCTCTGTCACGCTTGTGGAAGTCATACAACATGATCTGTGCTTTGACTTTGGCTGTTTATTGCCTATATGTGTTACATTAAATATTAGTGATTTCAATTATGTGTTTGATTACAATGAATTGTAGAGGCACTGTAAAGCTTGAAGACGCAGTATGACTGATCTTACATCTTTTTTCTTCTTGTTTGTTTGTGTTGAAGGTGTGGATTTTAAAATCAAAACGGTGGAGCTGAGAGGAAAGAAGATCAGGTTACAGATCTGGTGAGTGGAGAGGAAGTGCTGTGTCCTTATCATTGACTCAGCCCACCATGTCACTTCCTGTGTCTCAGAAGCACATGAGATGAAGTCGCTCTGCACCAAGTCATAAATTCCAGTCCAGAGTCTCTGAGACTCAGTCAAACATCTTGCATGTGTTGCTGCTGAGATTTAATCAGCTGTGTTTGCTTACAGTTAACCAACTTTTAACAACGCTGCGGCATTGAGTAAACTCACTGCGAGATTTGGTTTTACCATCAAAAAGCATTATTAAAGCATTACAGTACACTGATCACTATTATTGTGACTTTTAATTTGTGATTGCATGCTTGCAGCATCCCAGAATTCAACAATGAATGTAAATATGTGGATTTTAATTGTGATATCACTAATATCATAACACTAACTGATGTGTATGTCCTTTTTCACCCACTCCTGCCAATCTTACCGACTGCCATTTGTTAATTTTATTCTATTCAGTTTTAATCTTTCCTATTCGATTATTTTCTACAATTCTGTTGTGGTCTGGGTTCATGGCGTATTCTATTTCTTCTATTCTGCTCTATTCTGATCTGTTTCTTATGGAAGTGTTTAAAGTATGTAATATAAAAAATCCAAGATATAAACTCAGAATTCATATGAACTCTTTTAAGTGACGTGACATGTGGCCAAGTATGGTTACCCATACTAGGAATTAGTGCTCTGCGTTTAACCCATCCAAAGTGCACACACACAGCAGTGAACACACACACACCGTGAACACACACCCGGAGCAGTGGGCAGCCAT